TCTAGTGGAATAACACTGATATTTTGAATCATGTTATTTAGGGAATGACTCGCTTCTTATCAGATTGACAAAGTGACTTAGGGCAAATAAGGGCTAGAAACAATCTGAACTCCTCTGATGGAAAAAGCATCCATAGCCTCTAATTTTTGTGATGTAGTGTAGGTCAGGCACAGCATTTTTTATTGAGATTCTGTAGTTTGGAGCATCCTTCACAAGTACTTGGGTTGTTAATCTTTTAAGGGCCTCAAGTCCCAGAGAGGTGTAACTTGAGCTGACCAGACTTGTCCACCAGATCGTTTAACATTTCTACTCTCATTTGCTTCTCCAAAACCATTGTGCGAGCTGATGGCTTAGGAAACCTGGAAATCCTTTTAGATTTGTCATAATTGTGATATGCAGGAGCTGCTAAACCTTTGTTCTTGTAGCAGTCACTTGCCTGTGGTGCTGTACTGCCTGTTTCAATCCAGAGTTGCCTTTTGATACTTGTATGATGCTGTTGACGTCTGGCAACCAGCTGAAATTGTCTGTGGCTTTTTTGTTTGTTTGCTTAGAGGTTTTATGTTTTGTTTAGCATCTGAAAGCCTGCCTTAGTTATTTTGAGTAGACTGGTGTTGCTGGTGGTGATGATGCATTCATAGTGTAGATAGTAATTTATTGAAAACGAGATAACTTTTGCAAAGAATACTACTGTCTTACAAACAGCTGGAAATTTTGTAGAAAAAGCTGTGGCTGTAAAACTTTTTTCTGTCCCATGAGTTTATTCTTTGGTAACATTTAATACATCTGGTCTTAAACAGAAGTTCTAAATCTGTAAAATGTGGGGGGGAAGGTTGAGTACTACTGTATGGGGAAGGTATATAAGGTAATAAATAGAATGTGGAGGAGTAGATACCTGGAATACTGTGTCTAACTCTGGGCTTCTCAGTACCAGAAAGAGAGAGACTTGCTGGGGCAAATCAGCAGAAAGTTGCAGAAGTATTTAGGGGTTAGGAGAGGCTGAGAGCTGAGACTGTTACTCTCAGACTGTTCAGCTTGGCTCTGTGCAGTTACATGTCTTCATGATTCTCCCCAGCTTGTAGTCTGCTACACAACTTTTCATTGTAGTTTGTCTCAGCACTTCACTCTGGTTAATAAGGAGTTGACTGAAATAAAGTATAATCCTATATATATATTTTTAAATTTGGCATTGTCAAATGCTTTTAATTAAAAGTATATGTGCTCACTAGATGGCAGCAGATTCCTTAACTAACTGTAAGAATGAAACATTCTCTACTAAAAATAGGTATTTTGGGACTTCAGAGTGCAAATAAACTTTTAATACCGTATTTATGCTAAGATTAAAATATTAATAACGTGTAGAACTTGATGGAATGTGGAGCTAACATTAGAACTTCTCTGAAAAAAACTTAACATGCCTTCTCAGAACTGTTGCACGACTGGATATGGAAGATTACGTTACTTGGGGCTTGAATATCATCACATGTCTTGTTTTGGTCAAATGTCTTCAATTTGCAGCTGTATCGTCTTTGGGTAACAAAATGCAGAAAAATAAGAAAATAAGTGTGTTTTATGAGTTATTGCAAGTGGAGTGCAACATTAAAATAGCTGGTATTATTACTCTGTAAATATGTAACTGAAAATTCAGGCCTTGTTGAATGAAAGTATTTTCCCTTGAGAAATCACCTTCTATTTTTAGGGGAGGAGTAAACATACATAAATTTTGATGTATAGATGTTTTAAGCTAATTTTTAAGAACTGTTCAAAATTATGTTTTAATTTTTGAGTCTGACCTGACTTTTCTCTTACATTTCTGCAGTGAATGTTTTTTGTGTTTGTCAGTTGTGAAGAAAAGTAACCTTGGTCTGAGGTTGTCTGTTCTGAGCAGCAGTTCTGCATTTTACTAAATGAGCTTTTCAGAGGGTGGGCAACTTGAGTCAGGGAAGTTTTGCAGTGTGTGTTTGCACTGCAGTCTGTTGGACTGTATTTTAAAGAGGAGCTGAATACTGGAGGAATGGTTTACAAAAAGAAATGGAGCAATGGAGAAAAATTTATCTGTTGAGAAAGATGCTTTAGGATGTCAGCCTGGAGATGCATTTCACCAAGATTTGGTCCTGTAAGCTGTTGTTTTTCTATGTCCATCAGAGGAGGAAGCTGAGAAGATGAACTCACCCATTTGAGGAAAATTAAATAAAGGCGTGTGTAATGTAACTGTATCTAGTAAAGCTTATTTTTGTTCAAAAGAACTGCATCAAAAGGAAGTAGCAAAGGGAATATGCAGCCACTCCCATCCTCACTGTAGCTTGATAGAGTTGCCAAAACCAATATAATGTGAGAAAGCAGAGACAATTTTATAACGTACTTACTGGGAGCTTTCTTACTCTCATGTTTGACTATTGGGCCCGTGTTCAGCTGCTTCAGGAAAGCCAGTCAGTAGTGTATGACCCAGCAAATACCGTTTAGGACTTGAAATCTTAACTCAGGATCAGTTTTCAAGGCTGATTTCTTACACTGCTTTTTGTAAGACTGAATTTAGTATTTTAAGGTTTTGCTTTGAACACTTAGGGTGGGGCTTAATTGCATCCGTACTAATAGCATAGTAACAAAGTGGGTTCTTTATGTTTTGAAGAGTTAAAAATAAATGCCACATTCAGTGTTTTGTTTTTGTTTGTTGTTCAGTGGAATAATTCAGTTAATTATCCTTGTAGCCAAATACATTTTCCATCTATGGAAACCTTTGGACCTATTCCATTTTTGTTAATACTTCTAGCTTGTGTCACACTTTTATAGGAGCCTTAGGTGGAATGTGCTGCCCAGGACCTCTGTATATTTTCGGTGACACTGACAGTATACAAGAAAACTTCTTTTCTGCCATAGCAGATTTCTTGGCAAAGTAAAGATATTTGCATACTGTGTCTTAATTACACAAATGCTTTATATTCAGTGATTTGTTCTACTTAATCTTTTCTCACTCTGAAATAGCAGTCTCAATCCTCTGTTTGTAATATGTTTGCCAAAGCAGGCAGTGATATAACACTTTTTTGTTAGAGCAGGAATGGTTCATAACTCACAAGAGGCAGATCCCTGGGTGAGTCATTTAGGTCATTCCCACTTGTGTGGAAAAATATTACATCACTGCCCTGTACTCAGTGTTCTATTTATACCATGCCAGAATTTTAAGTACATTTTGCTTTTTTTAGATGCTGTAAACAGTATTGGGGGCTTGTCTAAAAGTAAAGTTGCTGCTAGGCCATAGAAGGACCATTACTGAATCAAATATTTACAGAGAGTCCAGGAGCCAGAGGAGCACGCTGTCTGCAGATTCAAGCTTGCAAGGGCAGGGGGGAGACCTTTGTAGCAGAAGGAATGGATCTGTGCTGCTTTTACTCTGCTGTTTTCTTAACCCTGTAGCTTTTGATGTTTTTTTTTTCTCCTTCCCCTCTTGGTTTTCATTAGAGCAGCAAATAAAGGTGGAACCATAGCTGTGAGCATGTCTGACAGACACTGATGAGAATGCCTCTAACCTAAAGTTATTCTTTTTGGTTGTGGCAATTTCTTTTGGTTCATTCACAGCTTTCAATTTCAAGTATTCTCCTTGCATAAAGTTATGTTAAAAATAGAGTTACTCTGTCAAAATAGATCCCTCCTATATCCCCCAGGTATGTACCACTGTCCATACCTCCTGTATTTTCTCCAGCTTTGTATCTTGTATTACTGTGGTTTGCAGAGTGCTTTTTTATCTGTCTGTTAGTTTTCACTGGGTTAAATCAGCCTCTGTGGTTTCATACTAAGACTTCCATACCGGAAATTTCTGTTGCAGTCAGTGCTACTTATTTTTGTGCAGATGTTTCTTTCATGACACAATTAAACACTGATAAAGGTGGTGAATTTTTCCTCAGGTTTAGCAAAAAAGGGTGACAATTACTCTGAAGTTTCTTCTGATATGCTACACAGAGCTGTGATCTCCTTTACTGCATAACACTTTTCTTAGTGTTCTTTTTATGTTTTTCTGTACATGTATTCTTAAAAATTCTCTAGTATTGCTCTAGAGGCAACATGTTTGAGATGCAGCTTTTATGAGATCTGTGAATAGAATGAACTGCACTGCCAACAGTGGGGTGGGGGCTGGGGTTTGTGTGTTTACTTTTGTGTTTGGGTTTTTTTCCCCCTGAGTTTCTATTATTGTGATTACTGTGGGGCTTTTGCCTGCATCAGAGTGTGGGTTAGTTATTTCTCAAACTACGAAGTTGCTGTAGGAAAGGTTTAGGTGAATGTGAGATGAACAGAGGACTGCAAGCAAAGTTGTTTCATTCAGAGAATGTGGGTTTAGTGCTTTTTCTGCTTGCTCTAAATCTGTACTGAAACTCTTCCAGGTATAACAGGGTAGATTAATAGTTTTGTATATAGATTGTATGTTCATACTGTCAAGCATCGTAAATGAAGGGGAATTGGGCAGGGTCAGAACTCAAAGAACAAGAACTGAGCTGCAAAATGTCATGGTGGGTTAGAAGGTGCAAAGTTGAGAGTAGAAAGGACCTGGAACTCTTGCAAAAGAAGTGATTTACTACAACTTAATGGGATTGTGTGTGATAGATAATTCACATGTGCACCTTGAACACATGGAAATGTGAGAGAACTTGTTAAGTTATAACAACTGGCTCATTTGTCCAAGTGCTGAGAACATCCTGACTTCAGCTTGAAATCAAGGTCTTGATTCCTTTTGCATACTGAAAATATCTTTTTGGATAACTGTACCTTTTTGTGTTCTGGATGCATTTCTCTAGTTATTTATGTCTTCTGTGCAGCTCTTATAGCATTTTTTTTCCATTGCCTTAACCTGTAATCCTAAACATTTTGGTATATTGTCCTGCAAGTTACTGTTCTGTTTGGGAACGCCAACAGACTGCCTTCTTACAACGGAGAGCTCAGAGGTCTAACCTAATGTTCTGAAATATTTCATGAAACATTATATTAATGCAGACTATTGCTTTCTGTGATCTCAGGTGACCGGGTCATAGATGTAGGGTCAGAGTGGAGAACTTTCAGCAATGACAAAGCAACAAAAGATCCATCTCGAGTTGGGGATACCCAGAATCCTCTGTTGAGTGATGGCGACTTGAGTACAATGATTGGCAAGGTAACACTTAAAATATGAAATTTTACTAAGTTTGAGTGTTTTTTGTGTCAAGTACATGATTGTATGACCATAGGGAAAATATTCAGTGTATTTATTTACAAATATTTTGCCTGAACTGAACTCATACATTTCAACAGTGTGTAAAATGTGACTTTTTCCTGGGGGTAGCAGGAAAGGGCCAACCTTCACAAAAGCAAGAAAAGTCTGCAGTGCTGTGTGGATACTTGCCCCACCCTTTGGTATGATGCTGTAAATAGGAAAGCTGATGTTGCAATTTTTAAAGAAGCACTCTGACTTAGCAAGTGTATTTGAGATGATTCTGAAATAAGATGCTTAGTTCTGAGATCTCAATAGCTAGTACTGCAAACTTGAGCTGAATTTTTTTTTTTTATAGTAAAATCTGTATCAGGTTCATATTGGAGACCCGGAGATCTACATGCTTGTTGTGTATATTCTTCCAATTCATGTTAAAGCACTAAATGTAGAATTCTTTCATGGTGTGAGTGTCCCAGAGGAAAGTATTCCATCTATATTTGGGTTAAAATTTAGTGGTAAATCATATCTTGCTGTCTCCCATGAGAGGGCAAGCAAGATTAGTCACATAAATGCACTCCCTTTTAATGAAGCAGTGACCCAGGTAAGTTTTCTTTGTCGTACTTTCTGTTACATTTTTTGCTGCAAGAACCAAATTAATTTTTGTGGATTTCTTGAATGTTTCATGAAAGATGGTGCAGTTGCTCATAAATAACTTAAAAATGTATTGCTGCTTTTTATTTGCTTCTGCTTCTCGGAAGCTTTTGTTCCAGTGCTGTTGCAAGGATGAAGAAGTAAGACATATCTGAATATGTATGGCTATGTATAGGGAGGTGTGCAACATACTTTTCAGCCAAGAATTTTTCAAAGAGATGAGGTTGACTAGCAAATACTGATGGACAGCCAATCTTTGACCATTAGTGAAAAAGAAACCTTGTGTTCAAGGAATTGTCCAAGTAGATGCTTGTGTTTTGGACAACTCCAAGCATTGCTGCCTGTAAGATTTTAGGTGGCTTTTGGAATCCATTCAGGCAATAAATCTGTACTGCTCCATTAAAACTATTGGCTCTGTGAAGCAGTGCCACAGAAGTCACTGGGATTTTAAAAGTCACTTGTGTAGGATCAGAAAGATTGTAGTTGAGAGGGCATGGACTTCTGTTACTGATTTGGTCAGCTGTGGTAAAGATCAGAAGTAGACCTTTATAGATAGATGGAGAAATGGACTGTTTGCTCCAGGTTCATGTTGTTTCTCATTTTGGGACTGTGTAAATACAGGGTTTATTTCTGAGAACTCAGTTTGATTCAGTAGGTAGAATGACCTGAGCTGCTTTGGATTCTCTATCCAGGTGAATTGGGACTTGTGTTGTTAACACTCTTCTCTCTGGAGGTTCAGATTCTAATTTAGAATAAGAGGGATGGCAACCTCAGTGAGAGAAGACATAAAGAAACCTCTGTGGAAAGTTTGTCCATGAAAACTAAAAATTTTCAGAGATGGACATTCAACTAATGAAACAGTTTTGCTGTTAACCAGAACATTCCATGATAGGCATGACCAAACTTGCTGAAGCAAAGAGTGTCATTCAGTGAAGACAAGATGTGGGAACGTTAGTGTGGCATGATTTAACCTAGCAGATCTGAGTAAAAATGTCCGAGTACTGGAACTGCCAGGGTCGTGTTGGGGAATGTAGAAGGGGCAATTAGTCCAACTCTGGATACTTTATTTGCATGGGGAGGAATTGTAGAAGAGATGCATTATTGTCTGTGTGAAATTGGGGGTCTCTTTGACAAACCAGGATGCTTTTTGTATCAGAGTTCCTGTGTTTGTCTTGCCAGAGCTGAGGCTCTGGGATATCAGCTCATTGATGTGAACTCTGTATGAGGGGCTGCTTTTTTTTTCAGTCATTTGGAAGGAAGAGAATGGCTTATATCAGAAGATGCTGAAGAAATCTCCTATCAGTGCAGAAAGGGCATGAATTTTGCAGCAAAAATAACTAAACCAAGGAAGTAGTACATTTCTCACGCAGTCTTCTGAAGTCCCTGCCAGTAGTAGGCTGGGATGAGAGTTGACCTAGATATGCACAGTGGTTGAACAAGGGTGAAATTGGTGTAGTCATGAGGAGGGTAAGTAGTATGACAGAGTACAGAACAACCTCCATGAATTCCAAAGAATGAAGAAGGTAAGATTGTTATTTTCCCAGTTCTTAGAATGGCCCATAGTGGACCCCAAATCTGTGTGCCAGAGATTGCTTTAGCCTTTTGCATGGGACAGGGAACAGGAGTATTCCTTTCTGCCATGTAGGACCGCAGATAATAGAATCTTTACAGCAGACCTGCCCTGCCCTCCCAATAACACTCCCACCAAAAAAAAAAACCAACCCACCCTAAAACATTATTGTGGAAAATCCAAAAGAGAAGGACATAGGTAATTCTCTTGGCATGTTGTATTAGAGATGATTGTTAAAGTCATGGGAATGTAGGTGTAAGTGGAGTCTAAACCAATTACAACAGTAAAGTTCTGGTGACTGGCTATTGCCTTTACACAGTAAAGGAAGGGGGCCAGTTCTGCTTCACAGAATGGTTTGTCACTCTTTCCTCTTGGAAGCCAGGAGGTGCTGCTCTAGGGCTCCTTTCTTCTGGGGATGTGTGGTCTGTATCTGCTCACAGCAAAGGAGAGGCTGCTTTGCCCATGCAAAGGGATTAATTCCTAACTGGGTTTACTACTTAAGGAACCCATCTGTCTGAGGCAGCAGCAGCCTGTGTTGGAAGAAAGATTAATTTGTCTGTGAAGAGGAGGGTGAATAGCATAGTTAGCTGTGGTGGAAGTGGTTTGAATTCCACAGGCAGATCTTCAGGATATTGGCACAGAACTGTAAGTCTCTGAAATTAGATACTGTGTGCTGCAGTTGATCTGATTACAATGCAGATCAATTGGAGGTGTGGCGAAGTCTCACATTAATTGGGACTTGATTGCCAGAATGCTATAGTTATTTCTAAAATTCTTTTGTAAAATTAAAGCTGCACAAGCAACTTCTAGATCTGCCTTGATATAAAGAACTCTTTCCTATGAATCTAAAAGAAAATTGAAAGTTTCGTTTCCTATCTTGTGGAAAATGTCTTTTTGTCACCCTTGGTAGTTAATTGATTCCTTCTTGCAATGACTGCAACTCCCAAGAGAATTTAGATTGTTTGAACAAAGAACTAATGCAATCTCTTGGCATAGAATTCCTATCCTTTGATCAGATATCTGTGAAAGGAAGCTGGCTGTTGTCAAACTGCATGGCCTGAACCTGGTAGTGCTATATTGAGAAGCAATGGCTTCTCAATGTCAGGATATCAGGGGCTGATGATTGAAAAAGAAGAAAGGATCCATCACACTGTATAATGAGCTGGGCAAGAAGACTACTGGATCTGGGGGCATGCCTTGATGCTGTGGTTAACCCCAAGTCAGTGATGTGGATGATGCTGGTGATACTTCTACTTTCTGCTAAATGTGGTATATACTGGGGTATAAAGCTGTTGGCTGCCAGCACTGTAAGCCTGACCACCACTGAGCCCCTTCAGAGATTAACACTGTTTATTTGACTGTGCTTTCTCACTTTAGCAATCTTGAATGCTGTTTCCAGGAGGTTTATCTTCTGTTCGAAAGCCAAACAGGTAGAACTCCTGACTTTGACAGATACTTTTCTTGGTGAGATGGGAAAGATAGATGTCTCAAAGGCCACAGCAGTAAAACACAATTCTTAAAGTCTGTTTTATTTCAGCTAAAACTGTGTGGCTTCTGTTTTTTTTTTTTTTTCCATGGAGGGAAAGGCACTCCTAACATGGTTGTCAAGGGCTGAAGTCAACAAAGCATTGTCCCTCAATTGAAAGCTCCAGAAGGAAAGTAGATGGTGCATTTAAATAGCAAATGCAGGGAGAATAGCTGTGGTTTATGTAAGCAATGGAGATGGAAGAGTGTTTTCCACCCCTTTTATAGTTGTGAACTGTATATTGGGTATGGCTCTTGGAGAGCAGTCATATCAGCAGGGTTAAATCCTTGCCTAGTTTCAATGTACAGCACCTAAAACCTAAAAGATGTTGGTGGTGTTTGGTGGTTTTTTGTGTGTTTGTGTTTGTTTTTTTTTTTTTTTTTTTTTGTTCTTAATCAGTGGACTAGGGAAAATCTCTGTGGTGAAGGGGAATACTTTCTGGCCCCAGGAGAGAGCAGTATTTCCTGGTAAAATACTATCTGGCATGAAGCCTGATAGACAAGGACTGGGGACTTGCTGTTGTTTGTGATCACTCTTCTGGCATCTACAAGAGTTTGAGCCCATGCAGTTCCTGTAAGCATTTGTGGATAGTGCTGGTCTAGGAGCCATTTGATGCACATGGATGTTGTAACACAGTGTAGGGAAGAGGGATATGAGTGATGGCCAGGAAGGAACCTTTTGACCTGAGACTTCTGTGTGTTTTGGGTCAAGGAAGTTCTGGCATAATTTTTGAAAGGAAGGTCTAGTGTTGTTCTTTGTGGCCTGAAGTCTGATTTGCTGGATTCTTGCTTTTTGTTTATCTTTATATCTTACTGGAAACCTTTGGCTAGTTGGAAGTGTTCATCCAGTCAAGAAAGTAAGATTGTCTGAGCATCCTTCTGCTGTGTTGGTGCCAGGATCACTTCTGGATGCTTGTTTCATATGAAAGGATGTTTGAAGAAGTAGAAAAACAAGAACACTCTTGGAATCTAGCATCTGTTATAGAGGGCCTGTTCAAGGAGCTAGGGAAACTTGTGAGGGAGAGTTCTGTGCCAGAGTCTTCAGTTGCCACAGCAATATCAAAGTGTGTGTGCACCACAGGTACGTGTCTCAGCAGTGGAGGTGTCTGCTGAGCCCATCGGAAATGGAGTGGGATGGAGACCTTGGGCATGGGGAAGTGGGCCAGTGTAAGTGAATGGTCAAGTGTGTTGACCTGAGTGTTACTACTTTTGTTTGGCTGAGTGTTACTACTCTCAGCCAAAGAACATGTATTAAATGCAGAAGCACACAGAGAGATTATAGGATTAGAGGCTGTGTCAAAATAGAAGGGCAATTCCCAAGAAATGGGTCAGGAAAGAAGAAACTGGGCAGCTCAGTAGAAAAAGGTGATGCCAGGGCATGTTCTGTCCTTTGTTCACTGTGTCCTCACCCTGCTTTGTACAGCCTGGACATCCCGATACATTGCTCAGTCTTCAACATGAGAACTGTGTGCAAGTGCCTAGCCAGGTTATCAGTCAATCACAGAGCAAGACCTGCTTTGTGCTTACTGTTTTTGGCAGAACAGACAGTGCAGTAGTTGGTGTCTGCAGCGGGTTGCTTAAATGACCAAGTCTGTCTGGAGTGAATTGGATGCCCCTGCCCAGATAAATTGTTTGAAGGTGCCAGAAAGGAATAAATGCATACAAATTCAGAAAATGCAGGTTTCTACTGATGGCAGAATTGTGAAGAAACATTTTCCACTCGAGAGAACTCATGGTCCCCTGTGCACTGTGACAGCAACCACATAAGTAATCAATATAAATTACAGACCAATATAAATTGGTCTTCCGAACTTAACAGGCTATGGAGTTGTCATCAGCTATCACTAATCTGATATGGCATTATTTGTTAAAGACATATTTTGGACTGCTAGCTAATTGAAAACATTAGATGTTTTAGGCCCTTGTAGTTGGGCAAATTTGCATATTTAATAGAAGTGTGCAGTTTGCACTGTAACTTGTAAGATACAAATGAAACACATGTCAGAAACTTGTTTTGAAGTGTCCAGGTTGAGTTTGTGGCTCTTACTTCTAAGACCTCAAGCTTTTCTTTTAGGAGGTCCATCATTTTCTGGTAAAGTCAAAATCTATGGATATTTCCATTTTGTGACTAAGGTTTTCAACTGCTAGCAGGCACAGTATCAAGTTGGGTCTGAATAGCTCATTGTTTTGGATGTTCTTTGCCCATGCCTTCACTGTGATAGTTGAGTTATCATTGTAACAACTGGTTTCCAGCTGGCCACAAATTTGTTTTTCCGACTCACCAGTGTGCCACAGTGCGGATGCAGTCCTAAGGACACGTGGGTTGCATCGAATCTAAATCTTGGACCTCAGCATTGGTGACAGGAGTATTGAGATGCACACATTAAACTATTTTTATATTAGGAAGGAAAAACCCTTGTGTAATCTGTGGTCTTTGGAAAGCAATTCACAATTTGAGGCTGGTGCAAAGCGTAGAACTTGAGGTGTGAACGATGCTCGAGTGAATGATTCACTTTCAGTGATGTTTATTTGAACAACTGCTTGAACTGATGCCTTGGAATAAAACTGACAAAGCTGGAAATGTTTGCTCTCGAAGTGAGGAGGAAGTTCCTTGTGTTATTGACAATACAAATCTTTCTTTTCAGGGCACAGGTGCAGCAAGTTTTGATGAATTTGGGAATTCCAAGTACCAAAATCGCAGAACTATGAGCAGCTCTGATCGTGCGATGATGAACGCTTTTAAAGAGATTACGAACATGGCAGACAGAATCAACCTCCCTAGAAATATAGTTGTAAGTTCATGTCTCCCTTCCTTAAATTGTTCTGGCATTGACTTAGTTAGCATAATATAATGAGCACATGAATTTTTGATATTGCTGCTAATTAAATGGCCTAGAGTTAATTAAATTTCATCTTCTTGCGTTGAAGGATCGAACAAATAATTTATTCAAGCAAGTGTATGAGCAAAAGAGCCTGAAGGGAAGGAGTAATGATGCCATTGCTTCTGCTTGTCTCTACATAGCCTGTAGGCAAGAGGGCGTTCCAAGAACATTTAAAGGTAAGTTTTCAGTGACGCAGATTCAATTTTGCTGTGAAGTAAAGGTCTAGTTACTGTCACTGTAGGAGGTTGGTTTTCTCATTCTTGGACTTTGTCAAATTGGTTGTTCTCATCTACAGCTCACCTTTGAGGGGGAGGGTAGAAGACTCTGGAAATTTGTTGCATTTGTGGAGTAGGCTCTTGGGCATGGGATTTTTGGTCATACTGCATTAAAAAGAATTTAGCATTTGAAAGTTACTCGTGAATGTTGGGGAAACTTAAAAGGCATAGCTTTGATGGGAGAATGGTGGGGACTGTTGTAACTGAATTTGAACCAGCAGTTCTGCAGTAAATTTAGGCAACTTTTCCCTGACAGGGATGCAGCTCTCTAGCACTGAATACCAAATTTCCCATACTAAATGAGCTGTATTAATTTTCTCCTTACAATAAATGTGGTTGACTGAAGTTGACAAATGTTCAAAGCTTATTTAGTGACAGTGGCCTTCTTAGTGGGAGTCAAATTTGATTATTTTGGGGGAGTAAATGCTGTCGAGCCTGAAGTTTAATTTTTATTCTTTCTTTAGAAATATGTGCAGTGTCCAGGATTTCAAAGAAGGAGATAGGTCGGTGTTTTAAACTTATTTTGAAAGCTCTTGAAACCAGTGTTGATTTGATTACAACTGGAGACTTCATGTCACGATTCTGTTCCAATCTGGGGCTTCCCAAACAAGTACAAATGGCAGCAACGCACATTGCCCGTAAAGCTGTGGAATTAGATTTGGTTCCTGGGAGAAGCCCTATCTCTGTAGCAGCTGCAGCTATTTACATGGCATCACAAGCTTCTTCAGAGAAAAGGACACAAAAAGGTAAACCAGCCTTTTTTTCTTTTAGTTGACCATGTTTTCCTGCTTGAAAGAATATCGAGTGTTGCTGTGAAACCTGGATGAGGTGTGTGCAAGTAGTGATAAGCTGCCATCTGACTGCATACAGCAAGGACCAAACCAGGATCTCCCAGTCCCTGAAATGGAGTAACTGGCTGTGCTCAGTGTAACTGAGTTCATTTTCATCTGGCACTAGGAGTGTTGCATTTTTGAATGCTATGGACCACTGCATTCAAAGGAGCATAATTTAAGTTTACCCATGCAAATATTTGCTTGTGTACATCCTGCTGCTCTAAAATACTCCAAACACCAACTTGCAGGCAGTTGTAGGTAGCACTATGGCTTAGGATTACATTGAGTCTTCAATCATTCCAGGAGCCAGGGAATCATCTACATTAGTACCTGTTCCTTGACTTCTTGTGAGCCTGTGGTAGACTGAAAGCAGTGGGACAGCAGGATTTGCTGTAGATTGCCTTGGGCATGACTCCCCGCTGGTATGGGAGCCCTTGGGGAGCCAGTAAGGAATTCAGGGCTGTTCTTGAGCTTCAGAGTAGCATGGATCAACCCCCAGGGCTCATGGGAATAAGACCTACATGAGGATAATGCCCTAGGGAAGGAAGGGAGCTAAGGCTGCAGTGGTTAGAACTTGATGTGAGGAGTGGATCCAAGTACTGGCAGCTGGCTGGGGAAGCTCCATTGAACTGTCTTGTCCAGTTCAGATCAGAAATGTTTAAAATGTAGCAATTTCTTAGTGGAGAGTTGCTTTTAGGTAAAGAATAGCCTTTATCTGTCCAGTTGTGGTGTTTTGTTCTGCATTCATAACTGCTGATGTCCCTGGAGCTTTCATCATGTTGGCAGCTTCCCGGGCACGTGAGTGAAGCAGAGCTCAGGCAGTGCAGTGCCATCATCTGTGCTCGGAGTGAGCTGTTGGACTGTGCCTCTTAGGAGTGATGGCTAAAATACACCAGGACTCTGTACTCCTCCAGTGTCCTCAGACAATGAGGAAGGCTTTCATGCAGTCCAAGGCTTAAATTCCTAATGTGGTTAAATCTTGGATAAATTTAGTTTCTGTGCATCTCAAGCGTTCTCTCAGCTTGTTACAGTGCTCTGTGCCTTTGCCTTATTTCTCGGTGCATTTTAAGGTAAATGTAGTTCATGTTTAGCTGAAGGTATCACTTTTTTGCTGGTTTTTTGCTTGTTTTGCTTATATTTAATCAAAGCACAAAAGTGAAGATCCTGATGTTGATGACAATTTATTGAAACATTGCTGATCATATGTAGAGTTTGCAGTAGATGTTTCTAACACTCTTGGCCCTCTACAATTTGAAACTGATGTTATTCCAAGATTGATGGGTAAGTTGAACTCTGGTATGTGAGAAGATAGACTTATGTATGCAAAGTATTAATCTCCACAGTTAAAACCATTTCTGCTAGGCTTTTGGGAGAGTTACAAATGAAGCAAGTGTCTAGCACTTCTTGATAAATTATGCTTGCTGGTTTCTTCAATATAAATGGCAAAAGTAAAAACTAATCACTTCTCTGCTTTTTATTGTAGAAATTGGTGATATTGCTGGTGTGGCTGATGTTACAATTAGACAGTCATACAGGCTGATCTACCCTCGAGCTCCAGATCTCTTCCCAGCAGACTTCAAATTTGATACCCCAGTAGACAAACTACCACAGCTGTGAAATTGCAGAGGGTTAATTTCTATTAAAAAAAACCCCAAACCCAACAAACTCTTTATTTTTGCCTATAATAAAGGATGTACAAAGTGTTAATATTGAGTCTTCATGTTGTGGAACTGGAGGAGATGGAGATGGAGCGTAACTGCTGGAACGCAGCACACATTCCAAGGGTAAACGAGCTCATTGTGGCATTTTGTATGTATATACTAGTGGAAGAAAATATTTAATGACTGTTGCAACAAATTTAATTTCATATTGTTGTACTTATTTAGATTTCTTTTGTAGGGATCTAGTAAGATGTATTTTGGAAAATTTAAAATATTGTGTAATTCCCAAATAAACTGTTTTCCAAAAACACTTACTATCTTGTGGGTATGACTGCAATGTGATATGCACGTACTGTTGTACATGCTGAGAACTGGAATGCAGTCCATGGAATGGCGGAGTGAGCTTCATACTCACGGGCTTGGTCACAAGGCTGCTTAAATGCTCGCTTTCTGCACAACTCTAATCTCTAGCGTGTTCCAGTATTTGTAGGCAGCTGTAGGGAATGGATGACTGCACCCAGAATGCAAGCAGCTGACAAGCCGTTTAAAGGTTTGCACAACTGCTGCAGGAGATTTCCAAATTGGTTGCAAAAGGTTTAGTGGCATCCTTGGCCCAGTGTCCATGATTTTCACTGATGTCTCTGCTTTTCTTCTTGGATGTGATGACAAAGCAACCAAAGAGAAGTATGAGGACTCACTTTAGTTCAATTCCTGGTAGCTTCATGATGCCTTTTACCTTCCTTTGTACAATCCCAAGCATTTCTAGTGTGTTTCTGTTGAATGTTCTGACCTGCCAGTCCCGTTTGAAATGATGTACCAGGTGCTGAGGGAAGGCCTGAAGTTGTTTAGCCCTCCCCAGACTAAGAGCTTTGAAGACCAGGTGCCTCCTGACAGTATCCCTTTGTGTGCAAAGCAACAAATGCACTTAACTGGGAGTCTTCTGGTTCCTGAGTTCATTTTGTATCACAGGTGCAAATTCAGTTTAACCATTCAAATGAACAGCTGAGGGTCAGCTTGCTGCATGCCTGGTCCTAAAGCTGTGCAGAGGGAAGGCTGTGTGTCCAGTACTATGGCAGTAATTGTCAATAGCACTCACTGTTTTCTTGCTGGTTTAGTTTTAATCCTCCTCTGACAGTAGAGACAATTGAAATGTGGCAGCTCAGCGTTTTTTCTGTAAACAAATAACAGTCCTGTTACACCACTGAAGCTGTTGGTTGCAGCCACAAAGGTTTGGGTGCAAGTGTTGGAGGTGGTGTGCTTGGTAGTTTGGAGGGCACCTATTCAAGTGTCTGATGTATTGCCTTGACTGTGTTGCAACATTTTCTATTACCTGGGCATTCCCTGTCTTGCTCTGAGCTACTCCATCTGCCTCCTCTGTGGGAGATGGTGAGATGCTTTGAATGGGCAGGGCCTGACCTTTAATGTAGTGTTACAGCTTGGAAGTGCAAAGGTGGAAGTTGCTTTGAGTGTTGCTTTCCAGCATGAGTGGGTTAAATCTGCTACATGAAGGTTAAAAGTGACTGAAACTTTCATTTCCCATAATGCTCACATTTTAAATCCTTTCAGGCACTATGCATGAGCACTTGACACGTGAGGGTGAGTGTTTGCAGTTGAAATTGTAGCATACAGCTAAAGCTGTCTGGACAGGAATTTAAACACATCTGTGCAAGGCTCTGAAGTGCAGCAGATGGAGGCAGGATACGCTATCCTGGCTTGACCCTGCAGTTCTGAAAGCAGTTGCTGTATCTCCTGTGGTGTGGAGATGGCAGTAACTGTTGCAGCCCTCAGAGGCAGAACTAGGAATATGCTTGAAGGGGCAGGTATATTCTGAAAAACAGTTACTACTGGTCCCAGTAGACGGCAGTTACGTGAAGCATTTCAGCAAAAAAAGGGTATAGCTCTGAATTAATTTTTAGGCAGTTATGACCCCTTTAGTAGCTGCTGCTTGCAGCTGTTTTAGCTCATGACCTGCTTGTGTCAGCCAGGGGCAGGGGCAGCAAAGGCTGCCTGAGGAGCAGAGCCCGAAGTGCCGCAGGCACCGGCTGCACTTGGGGTGGTGGCACGTTTTGGGGTCTCTGCTAACACTTGGCTGTCGTTGTGGGAGGCAGCTCAGCAGCCAGCCTGGGAGAAAGCAGGAGGGCTGAAGGGTTGCATTCCCCACACACAAGTGCAAGGGCATAATATCTTCAAGCACTTCCTACTTTAATTCATCTCCAGTTCAGACTAGATACTTGAAACTGTTGGTTTGGAACCAGCCCTTTCTGGAATGATTGCTTAGGTAGGTATGAAGTGTCTCTGGGCAATGGCCTCGTGAAATTCCACTTTGCTCTTAGGAGTAAAGATTTCTGTTCTAAATGCACTCAGAAAAGAAAGCTTCATCCTCTGCCTAAAGAAAAAGCTCCTTGTGGGCTGGGTATAGGTTTTGGCTTGTTTACAGAGCTTGCTGTGTAAGGGTGGGGAGGAAAGAGACTGTAATGGTGCAGCACCCAGGAGGGGGGTCACAGCTCTCAGAAGAAGCCTGTGAAGGGGAGAATGCTGATTCAAGCAGGCCAGACTCCAACTGAGGTGGCCTTCTGCTGCCTTCAGGACTGCTCCAAGCAAGAGGAGGCTGCCTTCCTTCAGAAAGAAGGTATGGTCAGAGGGAGTTAGTAAATTTGATTTTTTTTTTTTTTAAGAATGGAAGCACGCTGAACTATTACCAAGAGACTTGGGTCCCCTCCTGATTGTAAGTTTTTTTCTGAAGTTACCTGTGGAGAAAACATGACCAGCTACTTCAAGAAACAGCAAAATCATGTTTGCGACACAATTTACAAATTACTCTATTTAGAACTTTAATTTGTGATATTAATGACTGCAAAACACTTAGAATGACATTTGTTAAAGGCACATTTCATTTTAATGCATAGTGTACCATTCTAAAATATCCTAATTTCCTTACAAAGTGCTTGAGCAGCCACATACAGATAAAGTATAGCAAAATATATTTACAATCTAGGGTTTAAATCTTAATCTGCCTAAAAATATTTTAAAAAACTACAGAGATAAAATTAGTGCTTTTTTCCATCTTAACTGGGTGAACATACCCTGCCCTCTAATTTTTTCTAATTTTTTTTTTTAGTGATTTGCTTAGATTAAAAAAAGATTTCTGTACAAGATGTAGTTACAAAAAAGTACGTTTGAGGATACTTTCATAAGTGTTAAGCACCCTGTTCGATGCTTATATATATATATATATTTTTGGGAACCAAAAAAGGGCGAGCTGACTGTACCTCAAAAGTATTGGTTTCAGCCTGATACAGGAACATAATTTGTTTCTTATTAATTAGAACGTGGAAACAATGAGTGCTGAGGAGTTGACTCGTTTTGCCCAACATGCTTTGCAGCACTGGGGAAGGTGCCTCCCTCCTTCCTGTGGGGGACTTGCCTGATTTAGACCTATTAACCATTATTTTTTTTTCTCCCTTAAGCCTCTCCCCTGCCTGACCCTGCAGGTCTGTCCAGCATCATGATTTTAAACCACCACCTTGGCATTGCACACTCCAGTGGTTTGTGTTTCTTCTCTGAATTAATAAAATTACCAGTTCTTTAATAATTTGGGTGCTGATTCTCACTGCCTTAGACCATGAACAGCAAACTCCTGGCCCTGATGAACCTGTGAGGTTAGTGCTGAATGGTGCTAGAGATAAGGACTATGCGGGAAATTTACTTTCCAAGAATTAATGTTTGTCCCCAGAACAGCAGATGCCAAACGTAGGTCTTGGTTTACAAATACACACAGTGTCTGGTCAAAATTATTTTTCAACTTTTGAGGTACAGCTTTTAGTGTTAAGGGGTTTATAAAATATACACTGTTTTTATCAAAAATATTTATACATTCTGTTACAAGGTATTGCTTTTTACTCTCAGTAACTGCCAATTCAGGGGCTGGAGGTCAGTGGCCTACATGGATACATTTTTTTGCCACCGTGCAATATTGATGAAGTGGTACAATTAAATTACTTGCCTAAAGGTAAGAATACATTACAACTTCCAAATATACATGTTCACATGTATACATTGAAAATCCTTCTGTTTTCTAACTGACATCGTAGGACAGACAGAGGATGATGGAGGTGGTGAGATAAGGACTGGGTGACTCCTCTGCCCCTCGGGGCTGGGGAAGGCAGGAGGCCGATGCAGGAGTGGCCGGGCTGGGGCCACGCGGACGCTTCGCTCTGGGCTTGCACTGAGCAATGTCCTTGTTACATTCCTCAGACCAACCAGGGGCTTAAGCCGTGCTTAAGAAGCTTGAAGGCAAAACTGTTTGGCAAGTGACTTTGGTAAACTTTCCGGATTTTTCTGGATTTTTCTTTGTAATGGAAGCACTTACACAGTTGTTATCTCAAAGGCAAGGCATTTAACATTTTTCCTAATAAATACCATAGAAAATTTACAAAACAAGGCATATCTGTTCTCAATACCATTATTTTAAGAACACAAGATGAAGGTGTACATAGAAATGTGTAGTTTTATAGACTGCACAATATTTAGCTGAAATCATTTGCCTTCTCAGACTAGAACCGTGTTCTGTGTGAGTGTCACCAGTATCCCAACTTACTCCAATGTGGCTGAGTGGAGATTACCTAGCTCAAAGTCTGCTTTTCCCACTTAAGGCAGATACTTTAAAAAGTGATGTTATCTGCTGTGGAAGAGCGAGAGAGACTGTAAGATCCACGTGTGCCCATGTGCGAGAAGCTCAATACAGCCTGGGTTCACCAACTCAGCTTATGAACGCCATAGACCTGCTTTCCAGTGCTCAGATAAAAAAACAATATACAAAGAGGCCACTCTTCACAAGAGTGTTAAAACAGTACTTAAAAGGATCTTCATGTGATTTAAAAAAACCCAGAAGCTACAGGTGGCACAGAGAGCAATTGAAGGGTCGGTATTCTTCCGAGAGAGGCATTCTTGTGAGCCAGTCAGCTGGGGGTTCACAGTGTCTAGAAGTTAACACCAATCAGCAATGTAATCAAAATCTCTGAACATTTCCTGCTCTTCTTCTGAAAGTATCCTTGGTTCCCGAGGTGGAGTGAGGATAGGTGCTTCAGAGGTAAATTCATCATCAAAATTACTAACGTCTTCTCGTCCTCTAATGGTGGGTACAAAAGGAGGTTTCACTTTCTTGGCCAGTAAAGCATTCCAATCTATTTGCTGTAAAATAAAGGAATTGATGTTTAGTTTCCCATCTCTACTCCTTCGTGTCCTTAGAAATACTATTAGTTTGTACTCACTCTGAAAAAGTGATGCTTT